GAACCTAATGCCTGGTATACACTCAGGCACAACCTCTCTCTTGCTGTGGCACTGGAGATAGAGCCCAGTCCAGGTGCACAGGGTGGGTGCTCCCTCTACCACCGAGCCACGTCCCCAGCACTGATTTTTGGTGGTACAGCAGATGGCACTCAGCATAAGGCACACTAAGGCTGTCTATGTGCACACTTTTTTTTTTTTTTTTGGTCTTTTGAAACAAGGTCTCACGTGGCCCAGAGTCTCCTCAACCTCACTATAGAGACAACATGGACCTTGAACTCCTGACCTCCAAATGCTGAGATCAGAGGTGTGCTTCACCATGCCATGTGTATGTCTTCACAATTAGCAGACCCTCACCCCATCAAAAGGTGAGAAATACTAACTGGATATCTATTTATGTTAAGCACCTTCACAAACTACCCACACAACAATGTGCACCACACATTGCTAGTTTACAGAAAGTGTTTAATACATGTTATTATCATCTGTTAGCTACTCTATTTATTTGAGACAGGGTCTCACTCTGTAGCCTTGGCTGTCCTATGTAGGACAGGCTAGTCTGTTTCTGCCTCTGGAGTGCTGGAGTTAAAGGCATGTGCCACTATGCCCAGCCTGTTAAGCTACATCTTTGTGACAAAAAAAAAAAAAAAAAAAAAAAAAAAAAGGGGGGGGGCGTAGCCAGGCAGTGGTGGCGCATGTCTTTAATCCCAACATTCAGGAGGCAGAGCCAGGCTGATCTCTGTGAGTTGGAGGCCAGCCTGGTCTACAGAGCAAGATCCAGGACAGGTACCAAAACTACACAGGGAAACTCTGTCTCAAAAAACTAAAAAACCCAAAACAAAAAACCCCCAAGAGTGGCATGTAAGATAGCTCAGCAGGTAAAGGAACTTGATGTCAAGTCTAAGGACCTGTGTTCTCACCTGATGAAGACAGAACTGACACACAGACGTTGTCCTCAGACCTCCACATGTACTCCACAACACACATGTATACATACAATAACCAATACATGTAATTAAAAATAAAAATAAAATGGCAGAAAGGTTAAGCAGAGCAACAGAACTCCCAACAAAAACAGCAGGGGAACACAGGGTAGCCACTCCAAAAGCCACACTTCCCAGGTTCCTCTGGCTTCAAAGGCTCAGGTACAGCACTGTTATCTCCAAGGCTAAGCACTTGCAGGTGAGCGGCGGCGGCAGGCAGAATGGGCTGTCATTCCTGGTCCTCAGCCTCTTGGCTTACAGGCTGACAGAAAGAATTCTGGTTGTGGACAGCCAGCCTGACCCAACATGCCCAATATAAGTACTTACTCACAATCCCTACTATGAATGTTACACTTTGAACATAATGTACATGAGACACTCAAGAGTGAACCCCAGACTCTTTACTTACCTCATGAAGAGGAGAAACCCATATGACAGAAGGAGAGAACCAACTCCAGCAAGTTGTCCTCTGACCTTCACACAAACACCAAAGCACACATAGACAATAAATAAATGTTACAAACAAAACAAAACAACCCAAAACAATCCCCCTCCCCGACTAAAACCTCCAGACAGCCTTGAAAAAGAGGTTGGCTGATCTACAGTGATTAAGACCAGTGAGGGTTTGTTTTAGACAGGGTCTTGTTATGTATGTAGCCCTGGCTGGATTTGAACTCATGATATAATCTTACTGCTTGGCTAAAATGAAATTCTTTAAAGTATAATAAGACAGTGATAAGGAAAGAATCAGACTACACTATTTAGGAAAAAAACTAGATTTAAACCATATCAGTTAAGAATTCTATAAAAATCAGCCACAGAAATAGCTCAATGGTTAAGTGCATTTACTGTTCCTGCACAAGACCAGGTTCAGTTCCCAGCACCTCACGGTAGCTCAACTATCCACAGGAGTGCAAGTGCTGAACATACATACACTCATGCATAACACCCACACAAATCTAAAAAAAAATTTCCACAAAAAGCTTAAGGATCAATAAATCAAAGCTAATTTGCTGTCAAGGAATCCATTCTCCAAAGAGTTTGAAAAAATCGTCCCAGACAGCAGACGAGTTCAATTTTAGTCCCGATCATGCATCTAACAACACAAAACCACAAAGCCAACCTGGTTTTGGCGAGCTTAGTGACTGGTAAATCACCACCGATAAGGGCACCACTCGACACTAAAGAAAGGGGCCTCACTGGGGCCATGGGTTTTGTTTATAGCAGGATCTGGTGGTCCTGGCTAGGCAGCTACCTCCTGGAACAGAAATTCAGAGATACAGTATACAGCTTAAAACCTGAGAAGGGAAATTCTTAGGAGATTTTTTGGCATTTCTTCATTATTTTAGTTGTTTAATTCTCTTATTCATCTAATTTTTACTTCACTTTTTTTGAGACATGGTCTCATGTAGCCCAGGCTGGCCTCAAACTTACTGTGTAACTGAGGATGACTTTGAGCATCCAAACTTTCTGCTTCTACTCCCAAGTACCACCATGCCGCCTGTGCAGTGAACGAAGTACCTGGCATAGAGCACAGGTCCACGCAGTTAGCCAAACTCTACCAACTGAACTCCACCCCAGCGCGGTGCTTCTAAGCGCCGACAGAACGTCCTCTTCTGCAGAGATGCCTCTACTTGCGACTTCTAAGGAAAGGCTGAACTGGATGGAACACTGAGCATTCTATGATGCCCTTTGAAGGTGCTTCCAAGTGCTGGTGGGAAGAGGAATGCCCTCCTACGGTACACTTAACTAGGGTCAGAACTGACAGAAGACAGAGCAGCCGCTTAGACACTCTTCTAACACACACACACACACACACACACACACAACACACACAGAATTAATATTCCTTCTGTTTTGTTCTCCAGCTAAAGCATGTTATTTTAACTTAGAGTTTGAAAAAACAAACAAAAACTTGTAGTAAACACCAGTGTCCTCATCTTTAAAGCCTTCTTTCCAGTAGAAGCCCCAGCCACAGTCAGGCACTCAACACTGTTGACAAAAACAGCACCAGGCAGGCTTGCTTGGGGAGGACTTCATCTATAAACGAAGGGAGTGCCGCCCTCACCGGCAGAGGTAAAGCATTCCTTTAAAGAAGTGTTTATTTGGCTCCTGTCCCAGTCTAATAGCAATGAAGGGCCTAAAATCCCAGGGGGTTCAAATGTCCTTCTGAACACCTACAGCTACCTAGGTTCAGTAGATCTGGCACACAGGTAAACGGCTGTTCAACTACTAACCGCTCAGTCCAGTTAGGAGTGTGAGGGGTTTAAAACAAACAAAAAACAACAACTGGATTCCAGAAAAACGAGCTTCTTTTACCAGTTTGCTTCCTCAAGAACCTGGATATGGCCTTGCATCATGGCTCTGGAGCCTTTAGTCCTAGCACCTGGGCAGAGGCAGGTGATCTCTGTGAATTTAAGGGCAGCCTGCTCTACACAGTGAGCTCTAGGCCAGCCAGGGCTACACAGTGAGGCCCTGTAAAAACAAAACCTAACAACCCAGGGTAAAATTTATAGCTTCACACAACTGCTAAGTGACTAAGAGTTAAAGGAACAATTTGTTCAGAGTCTGAGGGCTGTTCAGCTATAAATCCAGGTGCCTCGCTGCAGTTCAACCTGAAAGTCCCGGAGACATTTCATGGAGTGTTTCTATAGTAAGCAGTGGTTGATAGAGCTGAGAAATGCATACTCAGGGTGTCCAAGAGCATTGTATCAGAACAAAGAGCTTTGCAGTATGTGAACTGGTAAACTGAGGCAGCAGCACAGTTTCAAGAACTGGATTTCTGGGTTGGAATGCCCAGGGATGAATGACGTCTGTCTGTTCCCTCCAACAGACATAATGAATTGTTGCCACACACACCTTTGGTCCCAGCACTCGGGAGGCAGAGGCAGGTGGATCCCTGTGAGTTCAAGGCCAGCCCGGTCTAGATCAAGTTCCAGGACAGCCAGGGCTACAGAGAAACCCTGTTCCCCTCCCCCCAAAAAAGTAAATAAATGAATAAAATGGATTGTTATGAGGACAGCTATGACAATTTGATGAGGCACCAACCTCATTTCGAGTTCTTTCAGCAGGTGGCAGTGCACAAAAGACACTGGTGGTTAGCACAGACCAGCTTTGCTGAGGACAGTCCTGTTCGGTTACTTTGGTCTCTACCGAACTCTGAAAATTTGAAAGACAGGATTGTCTGGCAGGGCTGGACCCAGCAGCCTAGACATTTCTAACGGACCCTATGACCTGACCTTGGAAGCCTTTTCGGAAACCCTTCTCCGACATATCTCAACTGCCCACCAGCCATTGCGAAGGAGAGCCTACGAGACGTGTACATGTGTCAGACACTGCGGGCCTCTCGGGTCACTTTTTATTGTCGAGGTGACAGCGTGAACACACTTGACCTGGGCGCTGAAGTCCCAGTCTGAGCGCCGTGGCGCCTCCGGCCTAGCACTTCTTGCTCTCCCTCGGCCCCTTGAGTCGAAGCTGGGGAGGTCCCGCTTTCTAGTTTCTGGGCGGTGGCTCGGGGACGAAGGGGGGCACGAAACGCTAGTGTCTGAGGCAGATCCAACTCCAGCGGCCCCGGAGATGTAAGGGTTCGACCGAGTTCCAGGGAGGCCCCCAGGTGGCTTTGACCTTGGTGTCCCAGGACTCAGTGTGCCCGCCTGCTGGCTCAGGCCGCTGACCCTAAGCCCTCGTCTCAGGCAGGTGTGTGTAGGGGGAGCGCGGGGCCGGGTGCCGAGGACCTGCGAACCCCAATGTAGCGGCTTCCCCGGGGCCCTTGTCCCGGCTCCGGCAAGTGCGTGGGCTCGGGCTCGGCCGGGACACGGTGCACGCCACGCAAGGGCCGCGGAGAGCCGGGCAGACGCTGCACCTGCGCCGGGACGCGAGGGTCGCG